CGGTGGACGATGAAAAAAGAGAGAAAGCGAGAGAGCGAGAGAGAGAGAAACAAAAAGAGAGAGGAAGAGCGACAGAGAGAGGGAGAGGTCATGGTCGGGTCGGTCTCCTGCTAATCGAAGAACACGAGGTGGCCCTGTGGCGGCTCCGCATGAGAGAAACTCTGCCTCGGCTATTCTCCTCCGCCATCACCTATCGCCGGACCGGCTATTGTGTAACTTGCTCTCGACCGGCAACGAATTCTCTTCCGCGAGGCCGACAGTTCGCGGTCGAACTTCACTGACATTGCCCAATGAAGTTCCAATTAGTTCGCGTGTTTTAGAGTCGCTTGCGAATCTCTTTATGTATTCGCGATATTATTCACGTATAGCAATATCGCCAGTTTGCATTTTATCGATACGACGCGTTCTTCCATCTAATTTCAATATGAAACTCGAGCAAGTTTGTTGAACAAAAACTGAGTCATTCGTCTTGATTTTTTAAAGTTACTCTTGAAGGGGTCGCGGTACACCGAAGAACGAGACAAACGGATCTGCGGTCGAAGGGGTTGAGCTCGAGGGTCGCGAGCCGCGAGGTTGAACATCGTTCAAACTACCGCGCACAATGCCGAGGAAGTTACCGGGAATCCGCGTTACGGAGGAGCCTCGTCGACGAATGTTTGCACGCGGAACGCCACGAGTTCTCACCAATGGCGTAACCTCCGTGATCGAATATTGAGTAATCACACTTTTTTCTCCCTCGCGTTGTGTAATGATTCAATCATCTTTTTTAATTGATGCGGTTGTTTTATCTCTTCTTGATTTTTCTTTTTTTTTTTTTTTTATTCTTTTTGCTTGTCACATCGACAATGTTGCATAGATCATGAAACTGTCAGGCGACTAACTACACGGGAAAAGATACATCGCGAATTTAATAATCGACGAAAGCTGGACGTGTTCGTTACATATATCATCACGTCTCGCGGTAACATCTTTATTGCGCAAATATAGCACGCAATTTATTGACTCTTCAAGATTATTATTGCAAATAGAAAACAAGTGTTTTCTATTTTTACGCAAAATTACAGCGTATGCGATATAAAGATTGTCTTCGTATTTTCTATGTCGATTAGTTTTGCTAATTAGTTATTATTATTAAGTTAAACTGACGATAATGACAGACGAAAAACTGCGCACGGCTCGTTAGCCGAAAAAATTAAGACAACGGATACACGACGTGAATGATACCTGGTATCCCAGTTACGTCCCAGTTCTTTCATCAGACGTAGATACCCGAGAAATGCACCGCGGGGGATTGTGAAAAATGATTTCCTAGTAGCACGAGAGCTACGCCACTGTGCGTAGAGTGGCGAAAGAGAGGAAGAGAGCAAAGAGAGAGAGAGAGAAAGAGAGAGGGCGGCTAACAATGGCCGCCAACCAAAACATCCGATAAATCTAACCGGCCCGGACCTCAAGCCCCGAGGGGTTTTAAACTCTCTCACCCCAAACGCCGACGCGGGCGCAACCCTTACATTACGTTACACTCACGGAAAAGGGAGCCATGCCGTGTGCTATTGCAGACCGATACGGGGAGGTCGGGTGAGGAAGGAAGGGGGAGGTGGTGAACGGGGGTGCAGAGCACGGTGGTTCCGCGCGATAGAGACGGGGGAGAGGAGAGGGACGCGCGTGATGTGCGACCCACGAAAAACCAAACCGAGAGAATTTCACCCTCCTCCTCGTCCTCCTCCTCTTTCACCTCTGCTTCTCCGGCATCTATCCGCGCACCCCCGTCTCGGGGCTTAACCTCCTTCTACCAGTAAACGTAACGAGATCTGCTGTGCGCGAGCGGTCGTGTACCGGTTCTGACGAAATTTCGACGAATTTGTTTTGTTACCGCATCCTAATTCGTTTTGTCCCACCCTAGTCGAAACCGCGGTCGAATTCCGGGCTCTGCAAAATTCCGGCACGTTGTTAAATTACGCGGTGAAAAGGGTTACGATATTTTAGACAGACCTCGATTAAGAATTGCCGATACAGCTGTGCTGAAATATATTACATTAATCCAATCAGTCTTAATGATGAAAAGTCTGTTAAAATAAAAATAATGTGCGAAAGACACGCGGAAGTTGTAGATCAACTTACGCGACAAACGAGCGTGACAATCGGAGAAAAATCGCGCGTCAGTTGGGACGTGCCGTTTTGCGATCTTACGAAACTCAAAATAACGCAAGCTGCGTCAGGAGATACTACCGCCGTCTTCGTCGTCGTCGTCGTCGTCGCGATCTCCGTAATAGACGGCGAGACGGAAATATGCAGTCAAGGAAAACGGCAAGGCACGCTAATGTCGTCGTCGTCGACGCAGAAACTCGACTCTAGCCGCGTGCGCGCGCGACGTATTGAGAGTTAAACGACGCCTGGAATCTCGGGATTCCACGACAGTCGTACATAATCAGACGCGTCAGCGATATTTCGCGCCCGAAGCTGTGAGTGGCAAACCGCGTTTCCGCATCAAAGAATGTCGATAGCTCTCGATGCTGTGCGCGTGGGATCGTGTTTAAACGTACGCAAATATGACGCGATGTTTGCCCGAAGAGCGTTTTGATGTAATTACAAATTTAAGAATATGAGCGCGCTCGGAAAACGGAAAACACTCGTCTCTCTTCAAGATTACGTGTTTACCTTCCCTCGAGCGAAGTGGCAGAAGAATCATCTTTACGAATATAAACGAGATGGACGTATTTGCGTTCACTGTAAATTTAACATTTAATATCGCCTTCATTGATATAAAACGCGGTATCTGTCAGGGACATCAACACTCCCGAAAATCGAGTGAACGTTCGCATTACGCAGTCATCACGCACGCGTCGAGTATTTCTCGTTATTCGCGCGCCGCGTCGAGAGATCGACTCGATGCACCCGAACACGGAAAAAAGGATTCACGGGAGGCCGCGCGAAACGAAGGTGGAAAGGAAGAAAAAAGAAAAAACCCTTTTGCCGGAGCGGCGCGCGAGCCCCAAGTCCACCCCACCTTTCCTTTACGGATCGGCTCGAGAGGAGCGGCGTCCGTGGGCGGAAGGAAGAGGTCCAGATGAGGAGAACGAGGAGGACGAGAGGCCAGAAAGAGGGACAGACAGGTCGGCCCGAGAGAGGAACCCGCGGCTGCCATGGTTACCGTCGCATTCCCGCCTCGCCTCGTTGCCATGGAGACGGCGGCACCCTCTCTCGCTCTCCTATCTGCTCTTTTCGTTCTCTCTGTCTCTCTCTCTCACTCCCTCTTCGTTTTCTCTACCCTCTGCTCGCACACGCCGGCCGACTCGCTCGCACTCACGAAATTCCGTCCTACTCGCTCGCGGGCGCCAATCTTCTCTCCGGCGACGACGAGCGGCTCGTTTCTCTCGCGCGCTCGCTCCGTCCTTCCTTCGCGGAGGGAATCCGCTGCTCAACAGAGAGAGGGAAGTCGAAAGAGTGGAGAACACACGGAGAAGAGACAACCCGCGGATACGTGTGCGCATGCGCGATACACTTGGTCCTCCACGACGACGTCGAGGACTCGATGCTCCTCAGTTCGATTCACTTATCAACCGCGAGTCACTTGCAACCTCGTGATGCACTCGGATGATGCTTATCTGTGGCGTTCTTGACGAGAGATTCTTGATGCCTCTCTGAGAGGAAGGAAGAGAGAAAGAGAGAGAGAGAGGTTCGATATGATGCCGCGGCGAATAGAGCGGAAGATCGCGCACGCGTGAAGAGAATTAAAAAATCAAGCGATAGAGAACGGAATAAAAAAAAAAAAACGAAAAAAATAGACGGAATGTCAAAAACCATTTTTCAACATTCGTTTCGCTCATTAATTATCTTTTTGAAAGATATTGAATATTGTTCAATTTGGTTTCTACGCATACGTACTCGACGCCGACGGTTTACGAGCTCTCTCGTGATATCGCCTGCATCAACCGTACACTCTACGATCGTACCATCGAGTTTAATTTGGAAATGATAAACACAGAATTTTCGACAGAGCTTTCTGCAGCATTTTGCGCGTCCGCACGACCGTGTTGCACGCTCGCAAACCACCAGGGCCAAGCCGCATCATTCGCGCGCAAAACGAACGAGGTGTAAGCGCCCTGTTTCGTAAACCGCGGTTCTGATTGGCCGTCGCGTCACCCGATATCAATATTTATTCAGCACGGCAAATGCCCGGGGCCAGATTAAAACTTGTTTATGCGGCCAACGATTCGCTCCTCCCACCGAACGCGCACCGAAATGTGCACGCATAAAACGAGCGCGCGCGTCTTTTCCCCCTACGCCTTTACGCACTGCACGCACGGCCGAAACTGATCGAAGATTAATTCGGGCGAGAATAAAATGAGTTTTTACGCACGGCGGATGACATTATCCGCGACCGGTATATACTTTATATTGCACTAGGGAAGTATGTATAATTAAAAAAGTATCGATAATTAAAAATATAATTGCCTCTTACAAACTGGTCGAGAACTTTGAGCAATTAATTTCTTTTAATTGCTATTCTCATAATTTATTCGAGTTCTTGGAGTTACTTATGCGATCTTTTGAGATTAAGAGAGTCCGAATAGACAATAATTATGCAAGTAAGAGAAAAAAAAATGCAAAATACACATTATGTTACGCTGATCACACAATACATTAAAATTACGCATGCAACAAAGAAATCGCACAGATAAGAAAATCTTTCAGAAAGTACAATTAAAAACAATATGATAATTAATAAATTGCCGCTTAGAAGAATTTTATCAGTACGTTTTGAGCAAGAGTTTGCGAAAACTCAGTCTTCAATTGTATTCGCAATCTTTCTGAAACCCGGACGCAGCGCATCTGAAAGATCTTCTCGCAGAAGTTATCGCGACGCAGGCGCGAAATAATCAAAGCCTCATTGTGACGAGTCCTCAATTATTTCGAGACTGTCAAATGACTTTGATTATAAATGCGAATATGCAATTTCTGTGTTCGAAAAATTTCAAATTCATGCGAAGAACTCGACTTACCGGGACTGCCGAGGAAGACGGAGGAGTAAAGAACACCACGACGCGCTTCGTTCGCACGTTGCGCGTCAGGTGGCGAACTCCATTCTCTACGAGGACACCATTTGCCTGAAACAATTTGTTTTACATTCGTTAAAACAATTATGACACAATTATGATATATGATTTTACATTTCAATATTATTACAATTACAAATACAGAACGCGAATCGCTCTCGCTCTCTTTACGAAACAAATAGCGTTCATAAGAAACAAGTCGCGGATAAGTGAATATTCGTGCAGCTCTTCGCGTACACGACTTTCGAGGGAAAAAGAAATTAATGTTAGGGAAGAGACCCGCGTCCATAAATTTTCACTTTCAGATCAACCGGCGCCGCGTTGACACGCTTTAAATGCATTAATGCAAGAAAAGTGTAGTGGTAAGCCGGTCGACTTGAATTATGAAAAAAAAATTCCTCAATGGATTTGTCGCGAGATAAAACGTCGGCGTTTACAACGTCGCAATCAAAATATACTGTAGAAAAATCGTGCCGATAACGCGAAATAGCCTGTTCACGTGTAAAAATAGATGTTCTCTCGTATCGATCCCCCGCACGAAAACGTTATTATGCGAAGGGCCGTGGAGAAAAAGTATGCAGAAGGGGGGGAACCTCCGACATGTGGAAGGAAGCAAAAGATTCGTGATCGTCGGCGTCACGACTTCGACCAAAGAGATTCTATCGTATTTCGCTCTATATATACATATGTATATATATATGTATATATGTATACCGTTAGAGCAAATTCATTCTTTTTTTTTCACCGGCTAACATGCGAAGTGTTGTATACCTTTGCGCGATTTACTTCAAGAATAATCATACTATTATGTTGATTACAATAATTAGACTTAAGAAAGTGCAGAATAGAGAGACAGAGAAAGAGAGAAAGCACTTGTATTAATAAACCACTTGTTCTAAATTACGTTCACCGAACGCTTCCCATTATCATATGATATTAATCACGTTGTGTGAAGCAATCGCGAATGGTAAAGTGTTTTTATAAATAGTGTAAAACGTTTTACGTAATACACAAGAGATTATTATAATATTTCTCTCATTTGCTTCATTCTTTCGCAACGCAGAATTTCGAAAAATTTCCACCCCCTCCCTCCCAACAGATTTATCAAGCGAAAATCGGGAGAACGCCTCACGCGCGCGGCTGCAGTATTGCAATTTTCCAGATGCGAAAATAGGAAAGGTATCTACTTTATTTCCAGCGAGATCCTGGCTGAATGAGGATACACGGTAAGAAAGGGTGGCGCCGGGGGATAAGAGTAAGCCGCGGAGCGAAGTAATTTCACACGAGAGAGTAGGGTCTTGCTCTGCCGGGTGAGAGAAGATCCCGCGAAGCTATAGTCTTATCTCGGAAATATAGCGGGCACATCCCCCTGCGAAAATTATATTCTCGGAAAGCAGAAAATTGCTTCGCTTCAGCCCGCCCGTGCTGTACGAGCTCGCGCGAAGAGAGCGCGCATCGATATTAGATAACATCGTGTTTTTTTGTTTTATAGTTTTTATCAGTCATCTCAGATATATGTTAATCTTCTGTATAATGAGGATCGTGTACGATATACCGAATCTCTCGCGAGCTCGCCGATCATTAATATCTCCGAATATCATTTCGAAACCTCGCTCGGTTCTCGACCGGGTGTATGAGCCGGCGCGCGCTCCGAACTAATGGATTTAAAAACGAATCCAACGATGCTGATTATAGTGTGCCGGGGCGAGGCGCGTTTAACTCTCTCGACGTTACGGTCACGGTACGTCCCGTCAGTTTCTGGTTAAACGAAATGACAGGGCTGCGCCGGTGATTCGAAAATAATGGTTATTCCCCGCACGAGGGACAGCCGGGATCGCGTTAATGACAAGAGATTAGCGTTCCGACACCTGACCCGCGAGCAAATCTATCGAGACGAGTGAACGTCTCGCTCGTCGATACCTCGTCGAGAAACGAAAAACGCTTTAAGCGCTGCTTGATAATCGCACGTACAATATTTATTCGAAGCATCCTCGACGCACTACCGCACTCTCCTCGCGCGCGCGTCTTTCCGCGTCGCGGATAAGTGAATAAACAATATATCAGGATTATTCAAAGTCATTTGCTCGCGTTGCCGACCCATTACGCACCGGCGGACCATACGTCACCGCCATTTCGAAGTTCTCCGGGTCCTTCGGATACCTGTAGAATCCTAGGACACGAGAGAGGAGAAGGTGGAGCGGATGGATGGAGATTTATAGCCGCTAGGAGACAGGGTGTAATCATACACATCGCCCCATCAACTCTGTAACTGTGATTTACCGTGGGAATTCGAAAAAGTCTGGAGTTTCTGTCGCATTTTCATCCGAATTCTTCGAAATCTCGTCGCTACGCGAGCTTATATACGACTGTCATACGTCAAATCTAACGTACGTGACATTCATGTGCACTCGCGAATCGCTTCTCGCTCTATTTGCACGAATGCACGCAAAACGAAACGCTCGAACAAAACGAGACACTGACTTGAGTTTTGAGGAATCAAGAGCTAAAATATATCGCATCTTAAAATTTGATGCTGTCAAAGTCGATCTCACGTCTGCGAAAGCATTTGGTGGCAGCGAGGGCGAAACCGCGCTTTCTTCACGAGGATTCGTTTAATGGCGGCACAAGAGTGAGACGTCTCTTTTGAATGATCACCGTAGCTAAATTGCGGGTTAACTTTGGTCTAACGGGTTCGCGTGTTCGCGACAGTCATGCCACAGGGCCGAGTCATGTATCGGGCAAAGCCCCCGAGGAGGAGCGCGATCGGTGGGAGGTGGATGGACCGTGATACGACGGGCTACGTCATCTTCGTTCGAGACCGAAATCATACGGCTAACAACACACGCGCGCGCGACGCGAACTCCCGCTATGGCCTTTATTTTTGCGTCCAACAACAGCTGACGGTTATAAATTGAAATGTAACGCACCGGGCACGCGACGGCCGTCATTCGCGCTGCTTCGCTGAAATCCTTCCATGATTAATTCGTTTCGACAATGCCAAGTTCATTGAACCACAATGTGTGTGTATCTTTTATTTTTCCGATAGTCGCGTTGCCGACACATAGTTGAAACTCGTCGTGCGTATGAAAACTTGAGTAGAAGTTTGTTGCATTTATATAAGCGCTGTTTCGAACGGTTTTTATAATAGTCTCGCTGTTACTGAGATGATTTCGCGTCGTCATCGATCCGAGAGTCTTTCGGGTTGAAATAGAGAGATTCGGAGAGGATCCTCAACGTCGACATCCGGCTCTGACGCTCGTGGAGACCGTGGCGGATGTTATAGATAGGATATAGGTACGTACCCAATAACCCCATCACGTCGGAGATGCTTCCTCAGTATAAATAAATCAATATAACTCGCTTCCACCCTTAGACGCCGCCCTCTTTCGTAAGGAAGTGACGTATGAGGCTCGCATCTTCCAAGGCGAGGGTTGAGGAGGCCACCCTGTTATTTCACAGTTAGGCTCGTCCGTCTCCCTCTCTCTCGCCGCCTCCCTCTAACACCCTCAACCATCTTCCTCGTCGTCGTCTCTTCCACCATCCAGACCGACCTGTGTGTCCCTAGTGCCGCTTCCGAGCGCGCACGAGTCCCACGGGAAGCTTTTGTCCTCGAGCTGTAAGCGACTTCCTGACAGGCCAAGTTTGCACCTGCTCTCCTTCTGGCTCGTCCGTGTTTCTCTCACCGTCTCCTTCTCTCTTCTACCTCTTTCTCTCTTCTTCTATCCGACATCTCTTTCGCGTCTTGCGTCTTCCTTTCTCTCTCAATATCTCCCCTTCGTGAGCTACACCTAACCTTACGCCACCACCCACCGACGTTACCGGCGCGTAATTTATTCGGGATGGGTATCCTCTCTCGCTCTCTCTCTTTCTCTCTGTCTTCGACCGAACGTAATCCGTAGATCAGCGCGCCGGATAAACCGGGCGTGTCGTTATATACGTTCGTCGAAATTATTTTCGAATAATCCCCGCCGTCGACACCTCGGACTCACTTATCTTAATTAAAATTACCCTCGCCCCGCGCGCGGCTCCGAGCGAAATCGGATGTTTGCACGATTTACGATAATAACACTGCGGCGGTAGACCGACATTTAAGTGACAGGGTTTATGTCCCGCTTTCAGTGAAAGACGCAAAGAGATTACTCATTATAAAGACGTTTACACGCGTCAACTTGAAAGATCCCGTAATCGTTCTCGAGACGATAATGTACTTCTGAAATGTTACAGGAAGCTTTATCGACGCGATTCTCTTGTGATTCTCTCAAGGAATTTACGCGTAAAGCGATCGAGAAATTGAACGATGAAAAATCTCGCTTCTCTCGTAGATTGAAACTCAACCGCAAAACGCCGAGCCGTTGTTTCAAGATTGTCGGACGATATTGTGACGTAACTCTCGTATTTTCCGCATTCGCGGACGGAAATACCGTCTTTCTCCGATAAGGCAGAGAGAGAGAGAGAGAGAGAGACGACGGGTGGAGGTCCGCAGATGTCGGAGATGCCGAGTGATTAATGACGCCCGATAGACCGTAATTTGTTGCGGCTTGCAAACTCGCCGTCTCCCGGCGCGTCTTTCAAATTCAAATTATTGATAAACAGAGGATGCTACTTTCCAACAACCTGTACGAGATGCTGTCAGATCGAACTGAACGACTTCACCGAGGCGACGTAGTAATTAATTTCGAGCAACACGTTACGCGATTTTCGTTATCTCGAGTTGATACAGCCGCGATGTATGTATCTCGAAGACCTCCGGTTGTACGGAAAATCCCTGTGCGCATACAGAGGAAAGAGAAACATGTATAACAAATATACGCGATAACAGAGGCCGCTAAGGATTATATCACCCTCGTAAAATCATGCACGGATGTGTATATATATATATATATATATATATATATTAAACAAAATACATAACAGTTATAACGTTATCGCGCGAGAGCGCATATAATTACCCCAGTTTTGTAGATAATAGTAGGTACATGCGTTCTCGTGTTGTATATGTATATTCGCGCGTTAACGGGTAAAATCGTCACAAAAAAGAAAACTCAAAAGGT